CTCGTGTTTCCTTGTTGCCTCCCGGGTTTCGCATGGTCTGTAGGGTCTGTGGGATTTGTTGGGAATTTGTGGGCAGTGTCCCCTGTTGTCGTGACTGTGGACCTGCCTGCGTGTCCTGTCCGCTCAGGTGCGTGGCAGGAGCGCGCCTCGGCTGCGTCTGACGCTCCCGGGTCAGCTTGCGCTCGGTGCCGCTGGTGTCGGCCGGGTCCGTTGTCGTAGAGCACCCTGGCGGCACCTCGAGCAGCTGGTACACAGCACTTGTGTCCGCGTGCATGTCCCCCTGTGGCCTGCTGCCCTCCAGCTGGGGCTCTGACCCCGTTGGCTGTGCACGTAGGCGTTTCTGTCACTGCTTATCAGTGAGGTTCCTTGGTAGTCACCTTTGCTGTTTCTTTTAAGTTTTGGAGTCCATGGCTTCAAAGCGTGAAGTCATTTTCTTCTCTTGTGTTTCTTCCAGAACTGTGCCGATAGCAGTTTGTTCAAGCTCACGGGCTGGTGCCGTGGCACTTGCCTGGGTTTTTCTTTGCTTTCCGATCTGTTCAGAGTTTTTTTCTCTCCTGGAGTCCACTTAATCCAGAGTCCCTTGGCCATGGGTCACAGCCACTGGTGATGGGCTCTCGTGCCCAGCCCAGCCCTCGAACTGTAGCCTTGCTTCACTGCCTAGGTCTGGGCCCCCGGCCGCCCCCCTGCCCTGTCCACCTCGCTTGTGCAGGCCCCTGATTCTGGCTTGCAGGAAAACCGGGCCCCCTGTCCTCAGGCGACCTTGCTGCTTTGCGGCCTCCCCACCATCCACCGGTCCAGGGGCGGGGATGGCAGGGTGAGTGGGGCCGACCCCTGCTGTGTTTGCAGTGGAGACCTTTGGCGACCTGGCGTTTGGTGACATCTTCCTGCACCTGCTCATGGGGAACCTGGCACTGCTGGCTGACGAGTTCGCCCTGGAGGACTTCTGCAGGAGCCTCTTCGATGGCTTCCTCCTCACAGCCTCGCCCAGGTGCCTGCCTTCCGCCTGTGCGCTGCCAGGGCTGGGGGGCTGGGGGCGGGGGTATGGCACAGCTGGGCAGGGGGGCAGGTGTGGGGGTGTGTGGCCCAGCTGGGTGGAGGGGCGGGGCGTGTGGCCCAGCGGGGGGGGGGGGGGCGGCTCTGGGTCCCTGGGGTCCTGCTGGGGCCTCTTCCAGGAAGGAGAGTGTGCAGCGACACGTGTTGCGGCTCCTCATCCACCTGCACCACCGGGTGGCCCCGTCCAAGCTGGAAGCCCTGCGTAAGGCACTGGAGCCCACCGGCCAGGTGGGTGCCCCAGCCCTCGGCCTGTGCCAGCCTGACCCTCTCCTTGTGTGCATGTCCCCTGCGTGGATGTGTCCCGAATGACCATGGGGTCTGCTCCGAGTAGCCCTGGGGCCCGCCCCAAAGCCAAACACTTTCCCCCACAGAGTGGAGAGGCGGTGAAGGAACTTTACTCTCAGCTCGGAGAGAAATTGGAGCAGCTAGAGCACCGAAAGCCCAGCCCTGCCCAGGCTGCAGAGACTCCGGCCCTGGAGCTGCCCCTCCCCACTGTGTCCGCTCCGGCTGGGCTCTGAGGCTTCACCGGGGCTGCTCAGGACTGGGCAGGGCCCCTGGTGGGTCTGGGACCTTGGCTGGCCAGAAGGAGCTCCCCTGGACTTGGAGTGTCAGGGACCCCACCTCTCCTGAAGGCAGACTGGCTGCTCATGGGGATGGGCTGGATGGAGCTGAGCACCCCCCACCCTTGGATGTCCTGCACGTGGGGCACCCTTCCGCTGTGCCTCAGCCCCACCCTGACCTGGATCCTGGGACCTGTGTTCTTGCTCCTCGTAGGCGCCTGTCTGCTGCTTTGGAGGACAGCTCTGGGTCTGATGTGCCCAGCTGGCCCCTTGAACTCACTCCCAGGCTGTGGAAAGCTTCTGGCTCATTCCTGCCTCCTGTTGTGGGTTTCCACTTCTGTAGGGGAGGCAGATTGGCAGCCGTTGGGATTAGGAAAAAGCCACCTTTTTCCATGGGGAGAGGGCAGGGGGACCCAGGCCTGAGGGAAGCGGTGGGCCCAGCCCTGTTGGCACCGATTGGCAGAATCATGTGGCTTGTTGGGTCCGATCACCTGCAGATTGAACCTGGCTTCTTCTGAGGAGCTCCTGAGTGTTTCACAGTGGATGGTCTGGCCAACCCACGGCCCCACAGGCAACAAGTTGTTTCTCCCCTGGCCAGCAGCACCCTGCGTAGCAGGCGTGGCTGAGGAATGGCTGCCTCAGTTTGCCCTTGGAGCAGTGTGCTCAGCTGCACCGTCTTGGTCAAGTGAGAGCTGTTGCACACAGTGAGACTTTTGCTTATGTAAATAAAAGGTGTTTGGGTAAATCCAGTGGATGAGCTATTCCTGGGCATGCCTGAGGGTTGGATGTAGTGCAGGTGGGCAGGTACCTTTTTTTTGTTTTTTAAGGTTTTATTTATTTATTTGACAGAGAGAGAGGGAGGGAGAGAGAGCACAAGCAGGGGGAGTGGGAGAGGGAGAAGCCGGTTTCCCACCAAGCAGGGAGCCCGATGTGGGGCTCCATCCCAGGACTCTGGGATCGTGACCTGAGCTGAAGGCAGACGCTTAACACCTAAGCCACCCAGGTGCCCTGGGCAGGTACCTTCTTAAGGGCATTTCTGCCTTTGTGGGCCATGGTCTGGATGCTTGGCCCTGTCCCTGGGAGGAGGGACATTCTGAGGGAGGAGACCTCTGTGGGTGCAGGTGCTGGGGGGTGGTCCCCCTCCCATTTCCCTAAGAAGCAGCCAGGCAGGACCGCACCCCCGCACCCCCCCATGCTGGGATCGTGGGGCACCCGGAAGCCTGAGAGCACCACCTGCCCATGTGGTGGGTAAGGTGCCCAAGGCCCCAGACACCTGCCCCTGTGCGGAGGGGGCAGGGGTCCTGGGGAGCCAGGGCCCACAGCCGGAGAGGAGGATACCGGGGAGCAGTGCAGTGCTGTCTCAGTGCAGTGACCCTGCCTGAGGGCACTGAACTGATGGACAAACAGGGACCCCCCAGCCCATGACCACCATTTCCCGGATGCAGGTCGCTGCTGGTCACAGGTGCAGGAAAAGTACAGAGGCAGTGTGCTGGGCAGGGGGGCCTGTGTGGGCAAAGGGAGGCTGAGGGTGACGTTGAGGGACCCCGAGCAGGACAGCCAAGGGACTCTGGACTGCCGGTGCCAGAGGGACACAGGGCCGGACTAGCTTTGGGCACACTGTGGGTTGATGAACTCACTCTCGGGGAGGACTGCAGACAAGCCTGGGCCAAGACGTGGTGCTTCCATTGGTCAGGATGGGAAGAGGAGAGGGTCATTCAGGAAGGCCCATCTGTGCAGAGATGGGAATAGGGCTGGCGGCAGGGACACAGGAACCCCCACCTGCCACATCTTGGCCTAAGTTCTTTCTAAATTTGCTCCCTGACCAGGACGCTGAGCTGTACATGGGGGTCTTCCCCCAGCTCTAGAAATTTCTGTCCCAGTGTGCTAAACTGTCCTTGGGGTGGGAGGGCTCTAAGCCGGGGCAGGGGGTGGGTGGGTGGGGATGGGGGAAGAGGGAAGGGGAGATGGAGGGAATGGAGCCCCAGACTCTGGAAGAGGAGGAGGGGGAGAAGGAAAGGAGCTCTACTCTGGGAGCCCCCAGGTTGGGGCCAGGGGAGGGGAAGAAGGGAGGGATTGGGGAGACCCCGCTAGGCACATGGTCCCCTCTGCTCTTGCCCTTCTCCCCTCCCTGTGGGGGGTCGGGTGCACCTGATGTCCCTAGGGAGGTGGGGGTTCTGTGGAGGACGGGCTGAGACGCAAGGGGCTGTGGGACCCCAGGGGAGGGGATGCCCCCCCAGCCTTATCGGGAGGCAAGGACACGCCAAGAGGGTTGTAGGGCCGAGGAGGATAGGGGACCCAAGGGCCGGCCGGGGGATCTGGCGAGCCAGCCAGACCTCCCCCTCTGGCGCCTCCGTCCAGCCGAAGTCCCGCCCACTTGCCACACCCTTGACTCACTTCCTTTGCCTAGAAGCGGAAACGTCCCCAGAGCTTCCTCCCCTCCTAGCGCACCCCAGGGACCCGCAGGTGTTGCTTCCCTCCAGGCCTGAGCTGGCCCAGCCAGGCCCCTGACCCCACTGGGACTCTCCCCAGAAAGCTGGTGTTTTCTGTGTCCTGAGTTGCAGCCCCAGCATCTGGCCTGGGCAGGGGGCTGCCCTTGGTGGGCTGGGGGGCCAGCAGGAGCTTAAGCTGACACAGCTGCAGGTATGGGGCGGGTTGGGGACCAGGGGCATCTGTCCTGCCTTTCTTCAGCTCTATCTCCTCGGTGGCTCTTTTCCTCCCCTGGCCCTTTTTGTCCATCTTTCCACCCCACCCGTCTGGTCCCTGGGGGCTCCCTGCTGGCCACTCCATCAGTGTGTTCACTGGAGGGATGTGGGGGGTTCCCAGTTTGGGGGTGGAGGGCGAGACCAGATCCCCCCTCAAGTGTCCTTAAGTGTGTGGGGGAGGTCTCTGGAATCTAGGGGTGCTCGGGCCTCTGCTTCTCTTGGTTCCCGCTTGGGATTCAGAGGGCCCCTGGCGCCTGGCAGTCGGAGCTGTGGGCGGGGGAGGGGGGCGGGCAGCAGGGTCGGGCCTTGACCCTTCTTCACCCTTAATCGGCGCCTAGTTGGCACCGACTTCTCCTCCAGGAAGCCGGGTGGCTTCCCGATAAGCTGCGCCCTCCCCCCTCCGCCACTTCCTCAAGGCCCACAGCTGTTTATGGGAGGACCCAAGAGATTTGCATTGGGGCCCCGCGGGGAGCCGCTTCCTGGTCAGCGGGGCGAGACTCAGGCTCGGCAAGGCCGGCACCAGGAACCGCGCCCCCACCCCGCCCGCCGCGCTCCCTGGGGACCTCTCAGAGGGGTGAGATCATTCGGGGGAAGGGTCCCAGTTGGCCGGGCGGAAGTCTGGAGACCCTCCCCATCTCCCTGTTGCAGGGAGGGCGACCTGCATGCCGAGCGCCGCCCCTGCGCCATGGACGGCGACCAGCCCAGTCTGGAGCCCGCCGCGGCGGGCCCCAGCATCCCCGGCCCGAGCGTGATCGCGCCGCTGCGCGCCGTGGTCCGCCTGCGTCGCCGCGTCTGCCTCCTGCGCAAGCGGCGCCTCCTGCCGCCAGGCACCGGGCCGGCCTCCGGGGCTGGAGCGCCCAGACCTGGCTGCAGCTCCCGGGCGCCGCACGCTGACCTGGACCAGCCGCAGTTCTTCACCTTCGACTGCCCGGCGGAGCTGCAGTCCAGGACGCCGCGCAAGAGGCGCCGGCGCAGCCGTGTGGTGCTCTACCCCGAGACCTCGCGCAAGTGCCGGCCTCACGCGGAGCGCCGGAGCCGCGCGCAGCGCTGCCTGTTGCTGCTTGTGGCCATTGTGGGCTTCCAGGTGCTCAACGCCATCGAGAACCTGGACGATAACGCGCAGCGCTACGACCTCGACGGGCTGGAGAAGGCGCTGCAGCGCGCCGTGTTCGGTCAGCCGGGTGCTGTGGGGCGCATCGTGGCGCTGCTGCGGGACTACCTGGCCACGCACGTGCACAGCCGCCCGCTGCTCCTGGCGCTGCACGGGCCCAGCGGCGTGGGCAAGAGCCACGTGGGCCGCCTGCTGGCACGCCACTTCCGCGCTGTCCTCGAGGACGGCGCGCTGGTGCTGCAGTACCACGCGCGGCACCACTGCCCCGAGCCGCGTGCTGCGCAGGACTGCCGTGAGGAGCTGGCCGGGCTCGTGGCCGACGTGGTGGCGCGGGCCGAGGTGGAGGAGAAGACCCCGCTCGTGGTGCTGGATGAGGCGGAGCTCCTGCCGCCGGCGCTGCTGGACGAGCTGCATAGCTTCCTGCAGCCGCAGCGTGCCCACCACTTCCGCAACGCCATTTATGTGCTCCTCAGCAGTGCAGGCGGCTCGGAAATTACGCGCTTCGTGCTGCAGAACGCATCCCGCGCGCTGCCCCAGCGCTCCGACGGCGCCCACGGTGCCCACGGTGACCGGGATGGGGTGGCAGCGGTGCAGGCCGAGGAGGAGCTGCGCGCGGGCCTGCGGGCGCTCCTGGTCCGCGAGCACCCGCTGTGGCAGGCGGCGGCCATCGTGCCCTTCCTGCTGCTGGACAAGCGGGATGTGGTCAACTGCTTCCGGGACGAGATGGCCGGGGAGGGCTTCTTCCCAGAACCGGCCCGCGCTGAGCTCCTGGCGGCGCAGCTCAGTTACTACCGCATCGCTGGCCGTGAGTTCGCCGTCACTGGCTGCAAGCAGGTGGTGGCCAGGGTGAATCTCTTGTAGCACAGGCGCAGCGGGACATGACGGCCGCTAGTGGGTACCGTGGGACTTTTGGGGTTGTTGGTGGCAGTAGGAGGGAGGGGACCCTGTGGATTTGCCTGAGGCCTCTAATAAATCTGTCTCCAGCCCCCACTGCCCTCCCCGACCCGTGGTTCACCCTGGGACCTAAGGAGGCTGGTGGGGGTGGGTCAGTTCTGTGCCCCCCCTTCCAATAACAATTCCCCCATTCCAGCCCCCAATCTGCCACCTCCCAATCCTTAGTTCAGCCTACATTCCTGAGCACCTGCTGTGTGCACCTCATTGCAGGCATCCCAGGAGGCAGGCAGTCCAGTCTCCACGGTACAGAGGAGGGATGGCCTCAGAGAAAGTGCGTGGCTCCCAGGGTCACATAGTTGGTCCCCTGCACTGGATATGACCTCAGCTCTGTGGGGCGCCTGCAGCAGCCATCCGTCACACTCACATACACTCCCGTCCAGTCCAGCCCTTGCTCACCTGCCTACCCCCTGGGCCCCGAAGTCCTGGATGCTCCTCTGGCCAGGAGAATCGTGCGGACTCCCTGGATTTCTCCTGGATTCTCGCGCCCAGTAGCTCCCTGGAAGGCAGGATGGGTGGGAATCTCCACAGAATGAGCTGATCCAGTGGAATCCCCTGAATGCTCTGGAAGGTGGGGAGAGCTCTCAGGGTGACAGGGGCGCTGACTTCTCAGACCCCCTTGCCCTGGTCACCAACTTGCTTCAGGACGCCGAACCGGGGTAGGCCTCAGGGTAGAGATCCCTTAGACTCAACTGCAGAGGTTTTCAGGTTTTCGGTCCCACATTGCTTTTCAGGCGCTGTGGGCGCCTTTTGCGCGAGGCTCCCTGAGGGCGGTGGTCGCGGCCACGTGGACCCCACTTCTCGCAGCCGCGCTTCCCTCGAGCCCTGGGGTGGCCTCCTTGCTGCCGCTCGGTGGCCGCGCGTGGTCGCGGGGACACGTGCACAGACGCCGACGACGCCGACCACCGCTCCTGCCAACGGGGGACTCGGGGAGCAGAGGCGAAGCTCTAGTTGAGCGGGCGCGGGGCTGTGCGCGCCCACCACCCGCGGCAGAGCTCAGCACGCCCCCGGCGCCCCGCAGACCCCGGCACCAGCGCAGGCCGGGTCGCTGGGGCTCCCCCGGGCACCCCCGCGCCATCCCTTCTCGTCCTGGCGGTCGGCGGCGGCCCTGGGCCGAGGTCTGCCGGAAAGAGAGGGAAGCCGCACGGGGGTAGGCACGGGGACCCGGGGCCCAGGTGGGAAGGGCGGAAGAACTCCCCGAGAACTCGCCGGGGCGGGGGGTGGGCGCAGGGGGGGGGGGGGAAGGGGCCTTGGGAAGCTTTGCTCCCCCAGGGGGTTGGGAGGCATGGCCAGCTCTGTCCACTGACCGCACTTGCTGGGCAGCTGGGGACAGGAGCCCCAGTCTCTGAGGCCGAGTAGGTGCCAGAGGGGCCCGTGTCCAGTTCGGAGACCCCCGGCATGGCCCCTGCGTCTGGGTGTGGGCGACAGCCGCGGCGTACTGACGTCTTACACTTCTCTTGGGACTTTGTCTTGTGCCTTTTCATGCGTTTTTATATCTTGTTTTATTTTTATTTTTTGGTAGTGGTCCCCCTGAGGGTCCCATCTGCCTCCTTAATAGGTTGGCAGTTATAACGCGAACCGAGGACTTACACCCTCACTTGGGCAGCGACCCGACTTGTGGTCCTCTGAGGGCCAGGCCACCCTCTCCACGCTCAGGGCCCTCTCACCTTGTACTTAAACTCTGTCCTTTTATCCAACTCCGCATATCAGACATTATAGTTAATTTTTATTGATTTTTAAATTTTATTTTATTGATACATTTATAAACTAGTTCCCTCTTTTCCCGAGGCTCTGTAATTTCCATTCTGCTAGAAACTGGGTTCCAAGGTTCTCTCTGTGCAGGTGGGACAGTTTCCCGGCTGTGGGTCAGTTTGTTTTCCCTGGGTCAAGACATCCTTCCTGAAAAGTTACTTGGCTCTTCTGGGGCTTTTTTCCTTAGAACTTGGTTTTGTCAAAATCTTTTCTTCTTCTTTTTTTTTAAGCAGGCTCCATACCCAACATGGAGCCCAATACAGGGCTTGAACTCATGACCTTGAGATCAGGACCTGAACCAAGATCAAGAGCTTAACTGTCTAAGCCACCCAGGCACCCCTGGTTTTGTCAGTCTTTGGAAAACCTTTTAGGATCTGAACTGGAACCGCACTGATCCACAGGACAGTGTGGGGAGTGTGACTCGGTCACCCTGTGATGCGGTTGACGAGACCTGATTCACGAGTTTGAATACACCTGTATAATGTTCTGCTGACAGGTCTTGCTCACTTTTGTGAGATTTATTCCTAAAAGCCAAATAATGTTTGGTTGGTATTGTAAAGGGTTAATGTTGTCTAATATAACATACATCTAGAAAAGTGGATAAAGCAAAATATATATTCAAACTTTTATCACAAAGCAAGCACCCATCCAGGTCAGGAAACTGGGCATGGCCAGGCTCCTCGAAACTCTCCACGCCCCTCCTCCTCCCCGGCTCCTCCTCCCCTCCCCAGGCGATGACCAGCCAACTTTCCACCAAATTACAGCCTTGTGGCCTTCATACTTCAGCCACCTAACTTCACAACTCTAACCAGTCTGGTTTAGTTTGTTTTTCATGTTGTAGCTTTCCTGTTTGCTTAATTCAAAACAAAACAAAACAACAGAACACCTTGATTGAAGTATCATTTATATATCACAAAATCGACTTAAAAGAGTGGATGATTTAAAGTTTTTTAGTAAATTTGCAGGCTTCTGCAGATATTGCCACAATTCAGGCTTAGGATCTTTCCATGACCCCAGAAAGATCCATCCGGCTTATTTTCAGTGAATACCTGTTTTCCCCCCTCCCTCAGACAACCGCTCATTCTGTCTCCCGAGGTTTGCCTTTTCTAAACGTTTCTTGTATACGTGGACTCTTTTTAGCTTTATGTGTCTGACTTCCTTCCCTTAGCATACGGCTTTTGGGGTTTGCCCAAGCCATAGGGCATGGTTTCTAGGAGTTTCTAGGAGCCTGGCCATGCCCTGTTTGCCGATGTGGATGGGTGCTTTCCTTTCTGCTGCTGATGAGTGTTCCATTCCGTGGACCAGACTCATTCCGTGGCAGATGCATCCCATGCACATTTGGGTTGTTCGCATTTGTTGGCTGTTATAAATAAATTGTGCAAGGAACATTTGCCCCAAATTGTGTGGGCATGCATTTTCCTTTACCTGGAATAAATACCAAAGAGTAGAATTGCTGATTCACATGAAGAACATTTTGTGTGATTTTTTAAAGAAACTGCCAACCTCCTCCAACGTGACTGTACCATTTTATACTCCATCGGCAGGCAGTGTGTGGGGATGAGGCTTCGCCACATGCTCGCCAACGCTTGTTACTGACAGTCTCTTATATGACACCTGTCCCAGGGGCTGGTTTCAGTTTGCATTTTTCTATTAACTAATGGTCTTGAGCATGCTCCACGTGCTGCGTAGACCTTCACTTTATTTGGGTGGTTTCACTGACTGTTGACTTGCGAGAGGTCTTTGTATATCCCGGCCGTAGGTGTTTGATCGGATGTATGTGGCAAATGTTTTCTTCCAGTCTGTAGGTTTTTCTTAATTTTCATAATTAAAAAATGCGTTTTGAAGTGCAAAAGGGTTTAATTTTTATGAAGTCAAATGTATCCATTTTTTTTCTTTCATGGTTCCCGACTTGGGTGTTTCTAAGAACTCCTGGTTTACTCCCAGATCATAAAGACTTTCCCCTGTGTTTTATTCTAAATGGTTTTAAGGTTTTAGCTCTTACATTTAGGTCTATGAACCATTTTGAACTAATTTTTATGCATGTTGTGAGATGAAGGTTGAAATCAATCTTACTGCGTGAAGATGTCCCCTCACTCTTTTTTGAAAAGTCTGTCCTTTCTCTGTTAAATTGCCTTGATGCCTATGGCAGTTAAAGTTCCACAGAGCAAGAGCGTCTGTGGGAGATCCCCATGAGGGCAAGCCTCGGGGAAGGGCAGGCTGGGGCTCCGGCCCGCCCGAGCTGCTGGGGGTGGAGTTTCAGCTCTGTCCCTAAGTCTTTTCGACAGATTGAATCAGGCCCACCCAGGTCACACAGGATCATTCCCTTTACATAAAGTCGATTGATTACGGACCTGAATCTCCTCTACAAGATGCCTTCACAGCAACACCCAGAGTAGGTTTTGATTTAGTAACTAGCCAAGTCGTCACCTACAACTGCATCATAACACCTTTGTCAAAAATTAACCGGCACGAAGGTGAGGGCTGACCTCCGGACTCTCACTTTTATTGATCTGTGTGTCCATGCCAGAATCACGTTCTTTTGATTTCTGTAGCTTTACAGTTAGTTTTGAAATTGGAAAGTGTGAGTCATTCAACTTTGTTCTCAGTTTTCAGTATTGTTCTGGCTGTTCTGGGTCCTTTGCCTTTCTAGATAAATTTTAAATTCAGATTGCCAATTTCTGAGAAGAAAAGAACAACAACAACCCGAACCAAAACCCAATTTCTACATTTTGATAGAAATTGCATTGACTCTAGAGATCGGTTTGGGGAGAACTGCCAGATCAATAATGTTGAACTTTCCAGTCCCTGGACTTGGAGCCGCTCAGGCTCCCAGGTGTTCAGTTCTCTTCGAGATGAGGTGTAGCTCGGTGTGTGAGCCGTGCACTTCTCGTCTTCAGCATATTCCTGAGCACTTTACTCTTTTTGATGCCATTGCGAAGGGAATGGTGCTATGGTCAAGTTCAAGCTCTTCATTGATGGCATATAAAAACAAAATAGAATTTTGTGTATTGATCTTGGATCCCGTGACCCTGTGGAGCTTGTTTATCAGTCCTTTTGTTTTGTTTTGTTTTGTTTGGTATGGGTTTCTTTCTTTTCTTTCTTTTTTTTTTTCAAGATGTTATTTATTTATTTGACAGAGAGAGACACAGCGAGAGAGG